AAATTAAATTACCACAGAAATATCTAATTTCTTTCCGAATTATGTAGATATTAGTAATTTAGGTGAACCCTATAGGCACCTCAAATTTTCAGTATTTTACTAAAGAATTATTCTTAACACTGGCTTATATTATAAAATATTATTGAAAAACAGTAATTATTTACTTATTTGTAATACCAAAAACACTGAACAACAGTTTTTGATACTTAAAATAAATAATTATTATTTTTTATTATATTATATTATACTATTATTATATTATATGTATATATTATACTATTTATTATATTATATTATACTATCTTTAATTATGTTGTGTCATATAGTATTAAATTGGGCACCATAGCGGAAAAAAAATTTTAACGAAAAAGTACAGAAAAAGTACATAGATTGAGACAAAATCTTAAAAATTCTTAATTTTTCGTAGGGCTCACCTAAATTACTAATATCTACATAATTCGGAAAGAAATTAGATATTTCTGTGGTAATTTAATTTACTAAAGGACTGTAAAGAACCGTCTCAAATTTACAATATTATAGATTTCTGTAAGGAAAATTAATCACGATAATATTGAGCGCCACCATAGTTTCGTGTTACGTTTCGTAAATAGTGAGACGTAGAGTGACGTTGTTTGAGGGCGCAGGATTTCTAGGTTTTTCAAAGAAACAGCGTCGCTCTACGTCTCACTACGAATATATATCTATGAAAAACTAATAATTTCTAAGATCTTGCCTCAATCTGTGTAGTTTTTCGTAAAACTTTTCCGCCAGGGCAGTGATTACCTACAGGATTTTGAATGGGTTTTAAAATAAATTACAGCTTTCCGCATAAACCAACGCCTCTCCATACAATACACATGTTTAAAAGATGTCATAAAGACATCTTATAGACATGCGTGTTGTTTAGCCATCCGTCGTTTTTCGAGCAAAGAGATGGTCATTTTTCGCACGTGAAATAATTCGCTAGTGCGTTTCTCACTAATAAGATGACATCTTGAGAAATGACGCGTTGTAATTGTGGCAAATAATGAGTCGGATATTTCATGAAGCGCCCAATTGACAAAGTATTCACAATTCTTCGCCAAAAGAACTCGAGAAACTACGTTTTACATAGACACAGCATAGATTATATGTATATATACTATTTATACACCCTGATAGCAAAATGTTAGCAATTTGGAGCCAAATTGACAGCAAATTCGATCAGATATTGACTACAAAACCGTAACCATCTGTGTCCGCATTTGGCTATGAATTTGTCGACAAAGCTTGCTGACAGGCATATGCCAGTAGATTGGTGACAGAAACTGAGCAGAATTTGCTTTTTCGGTTCTGCTCTCAATCTGCCGTCAGGTGCAGGACTTTGTTTAGTTTCTGCTACTAATCTGCTGACACAGCATGTCTAGCACTCGGTCTAGCAGATTTTGTCATATTTCTGACAGCAATTTGCTGACGATGTCAGATAGTATAAACTCTGGCCTGTATTTAGAACGTGCTAACAAAGATGTTAGCGCGCTAACATACTATATTTTATGTTACGCTTATTATAGAATTTGAGATAAAAGCGCGCTTTTTCTGAATACAGGTCTCTATGTTCGTTGCCTTTTTGAAATAAAAAATTGGTAGCTTTGCTATCTTTGCTATTATATTTGTTAAATTGCGTAAAATTAAACAAAGGGATTAAGAAGATTCTTAATTTTTAAAAAACAATAATTTGGTAGGACTAATGAGAATTAGACGCGAATTTTAATCTGTAGTACAAATTATTGAATAAAATTTAACACAAATTTGAAAATTAAAATTTTTTACCATACGTATCTTCAATAAACTTTGTTCATTAATTTATAAATCTGGTAGCATGAAGAAAGTAAGCTAGCACACACTAAGCATAAGCCGTCTCCATGTTGATCTAACACAGAACATATATCTAACCATTCTGGCATTTCTGACCTCGGAATTCGCTGTCCGAAGCAATCCGAGGTTGAAATCAAAAAGAAACCTGAGAGCGGCCATGCCCGGAATTTAGCTGCAACCTTATTTTGAAGCGCCTCTATGTCCACAAAACGTGGACCTTGAACTACGTAGCTAATGTCCACGATTCCGTCGGTAATGTCCACGATTTTTTTATTGTATTCTTCGCTATATCCACGATTTTCGGTCCGTTAGATAAACAAAGATGAAAAATCGTTTGTACAAGCGCCGACAGATTGATTGTTCGTCTTCATCTATCTAACGGACCAAAAATCGTGGACGTAGCGAAGAATACAATCAAAAAATCGTGGACATTACCGACGGAATCGTGGACATTACTGACAGGATCGTGGATCAGGCTTCTCTCTGTTGAAATTAAAGTATTAGTGGCGCCTCAGCTAGGAGGACTAACAAACTTCATTTCATCAGAGTTCTATCGATATTACATTATTTGTATAAATACTACCTTTTTGATAAAAAGGGAAGTTGATTTGATGAAAAATTATAAATATAAACAATTCTTTTTTATTTAAATAAAACGTATGGAATAAATCAAATTATTAAACATTTTTCTTATTTAACTGCAGGCAATTGTTTTTAAATAAAAGAGTAAAGATGTTCGGGGAACACTTATTAGTGCAAAAGTAATTGTAAAAATATAAAATTTTCAAACAACGTGTGATATACGCGTAACGTGGAACATATACGTGATAAATAATTTAAAAATGATTTATTACACAGATTTGATAGAGTATTTATGTACAGAGTCATCAATAATACATTTATAAATGAGGCCATTATATAAACAGGCAATTATTAGATTTCTTTTTTAATAATTTTCTAATAATAAAATAACATCGTAAAACATGATTCCGCTACATATTGTGTATCAAATTCAACTTTCATATACTATTTTTATATGATTAGATATATGTCTGTAATAGAAAACTGCAAACTCTTTCGCTGGGATCATAAAATTACTTTAGTGTAAAAGAGCTTAATCCAATCGTTTGTTACAAATTTCATTATCATATTTATACGATATAAAGTACATTCTATTTACAATTGTTGATCAGTAGTAAGTGTCAGTAAAAAGTGATATAAATAAATAAGTATATAAAATTTTGTATATAAAAGAGTAAACGTCCAATATAAATCTATTAAATTCATGCTGAATTTGTCATATTTTCAGATACATTATGTTAAAAATATAATTAAAATAATATACAGTGTGATATATAATTCAAAATTTCTGTAAAATTTTTCTTCGTTCATAAACTATTTGTTATGCAGGCTTAATTTAGATGCTTTTTAGATTCTATACTATCATCATTATGTGTAAATTAACTATCTTTTTTAGCAATTATTATAAAAGTTGACTCTCCTTCTGCATATAATTATCTTCTTTCAGATATCACATAATTTTTCACGTTTATTTTTCGGATTTTTGTCAAAGAAAAACGAAGTTCTGCTAGATGTACAAAATTATATAAATAAACATTATTTCTGTATCATAAAGCACGATGATTATTGCACTTGGCTGTGCATAATAAAAAAAGATTTAATATTGTGCGCTAATATGATATTATTTAGATTTTAATAATATCTATGAGCATTAAAAGGGACTTCTATATATGTTTTCCAGGGCAGTCTTTATACTCGCTTCATCGTACATTACCTAATGGGAACCATTCAATAGTTTCGTTCGTCAAGTCGACATGTCCGAGTGGCAAACTTATACCACCGAGAAATTCATTCTCCTGCAAAGTATCGTGATTCCATATCGTTGCTTCGAGCGTTCTTTCCCTGATCACTTCTAGAGGCATTCTATACTCCAACTATTGCAAAAAAAATGGATTATTACTAAGCTGTTTAATTAAGCAATTAATATACTTTTGTATCTATTATTTATCCATTTTTTAAGCGTTTATAGTTTATTATAAAAATCTGACTTTATTTACCATCTCCATGAATGATGGATGACAATTTTTCTTTACTACTTTCGTTTTCCGTTTCGTTGCCTTTGTAGCATCGGGCTTGAGATATACCTTCACATATGTATTTGGCTCTTGAGCATTAGCCACTTTGGGGAGTCCTCGTGCATGGCAAACCATGACAGATAAAGTGCCGCGAACGTAATGAAGAGCCAACTTGATTTGACCACTCTGCATGTTATCTCTGACTCTCTTCTCAGCCCACCAATTATTTCCAACTATTAAATAAAAATGATATTATATTAGTCCATAAATTATTCTCGTCTAAGTTTTAAACGCTCGTTAAGTTATATTTTTCAGAACATCATTATTTTAGAGATATTATTATATTATTTACATAAACATATTTGTATTTTACTATTTTAATATTTTATTATAATAAATAATTTAATTTTAGTTCAATTTATTATTAATATAAAATAAATGTATTGTAAAATTTATTATTAATACAAATATATAAATGTTGTGCTTAAGCATATTTATTCCAAAGCTGTAAAACAAACAGCGCTTACAAATAATGATAATAATAATAATATATATTTGGAAAATTTAAATATACCAAAATATACCTTTGACTTTACGCAAACGAATATCAGGATTCTTTTGGTCTCGTAACAGTGGATGAAAGAAAGTATATACCAGATCGCTTTGAGATATTTCCGGTGCCATTTTAAACAGACTCACAAGAAACTTTTCTATATCCGCACGTCGTTTATCGGCTACCTGCTTAATATTAGAACGTCCCACGCTAATTCCACTTGGTAAGCTGTGAAACAGACAGAGAGATTCGAGATTATTCTCACAATGCGAGTAAACAGAATGTTTCCATATTCATAAACATTCGCTATTCGCGCCTCGAAGGATCAAGCTATCATTAGATACTATCGTAAATAAACATAACAGAGATCGTACAGGGCATACAGCACTGTACTGAGTAGTAGTCACATTGTGATCTCTTTGTACTGTAGCAAGAGAAAGAATGAATTTAAACTCAAGTGTTTTAATGTGAATACAGTGTCATATTAATTAATGTATTCCTTTAATATTTAACGAATTGTGTTACGCTCGCAAGTTAATCATTGTATGACTAAGACTGTTAGATATGAGATATGTCAGACTTTAATATCAGATGATCTAAAGATAACGCATATCAAAAGGTATGACATTGTGAGCGCAGAGTTTTTGCGTTTAAGATATCTTCTTATATCTCAACATATTGTCTTCGCTCTGCGTCGCGAATTTGTGATAGTATAACGCGCCATAATAGTTTTCACTTTTAAAGGTATTGTGATTTACTTAACTAAAACTCGATCTGGAACATCTGCATTTTTTCGTCTAAAGTAAGCACGGGTGATGATAATTGTCTTAAAAGTTTTATATTGTAAGTATAAATAATTTTTCTAATTGGAAGAAAATAATTATACCACTCTACATTCACGTTATTTTGTAAGAGCAAAATTAATATTGTGATATAACAAAATAAAAAATATAATGTACTTTTTAGGATACAATTTACGTTCAATAAATATACATCATTCTCGAAAGAGAAATCGCAATTTGTTAATATATCGTTTCTTTTCACAAGAGTGAGTAATTTTATATCATGTTTATAAGATGTAATATCTTCGTAATATTTACAAAGAGTTTGTAAAATATTTTTAATATTATCAATAAAAGTACGGAAATGTTATCTATAGGTAATTTAAGAATTCATTTAAAATTTGAAAATCTTTAATATAAATCAATTGATTTCCAGAAGTTTAATATTAAATTTTGGAAGAAAATGGGTTTGAAATGGTTTCGGGCAAGTCTATCGATGGAGAAAGAAGCGTCTAAAGTTCCAGCCATGACGGGCTTATATCGGAGAATTTCATATTTCGAGCCGGCAATTAAAAAAAATGTGGAAGTCTCATTATCAACGCCTCCTTTAATAGCAAGTGATTCAACGTTAAGTGGCGATAACGAAACAGTGAAAAATGACCGCTCAAGAGCAGATCTTACAAATCAAACATCATCGTCAATTATTGATTCGGAGGAAATCACGGTAAAAGACATTGACAACAAACCACAGATAAACAATCATTCAGTTGAAAATGCGGAGTCTTCTACTTCTACCAAAGATCCAAATGTAAAAGAGGAATCGGCACGTAGCGAGGAATTAAATAAGATAACTAAAGATCAAAATATGTCAGATACAAAAAGTCCTATCTATTCAGATAATGAGCTAGTGATCTAATAAGGGGAAAATGTTAAATAATGCATGCATATACAGATGTTTAGCATGAAAAATGGATACATTTGTCTCGATTCGACATCTCTACTATTTACTATCATATACTTTACTACCTTTTTATATATACTACATATATATACGTTTGTTCGCATTTATTATTTATATGCTATACTTGAAATTGAGATATAATTTAACTATATAGAATATAATTAAATACGCATATGTTATAATCTCATATATTTATGTAAAATATTTTAGTATATATACACACAGCACATTTTATCCGAGGAACATCCTGAGAATATCCTTAACATTGGATGTTTTCAGAGACATTCCTTGGAAGTCTGTGCTGTATGGGTAAGAAAATGTTAACATTTAACTTTTGCATTAGAATGAATATGTGTATAAGATTATATAATAATCTTACAATATTTATATTAAACAATGTAGAAGAGGAAAATAAAAATAGGAATTTGCAAAAGGAAAAATATACACTTGATATACGTAATATTTACCTGGTTACTTTAGCAAGTGGAAAATGTATGCACAATTTCTGATAGAATTCGCAAAACTCTTTATACGATCGGAATAGATATGTTGGATCCGGTTGGCCCTTCCGTTGTATTCGTAAAATGTACATGTAATATTTCTCCGGATCATAGCGTTTCTGATATCCGTGAACCTGGACGCTTGTTAATTCACCTTCTTGCTGCATTCTACAATAATTATTTAAAAAATATATTAATACATTAACTGTCATCCGAAAAATGAGCAAAATCTTTTAAGATTTTTCGATTTTTTTGGAGCGTTATACTTTTACTTATAATGTTTAGCAAAAGTAAAAGACTCACGTGTACGTGCGCGGAATGAAGGATAGTAATTCCCCCTCACTGTGATCTCCAGAGAATCTCATCTGCGCTAGATTATGCAGGAAAAAGTTAAATTGCGTAAACCAACTTTTCAGTGAACTTTCTATCATGCGAGCGAAAGTCGCTGCTGCTTCGGGATTTGTTTGTCCAGGAAGTAGTGCTTTCTGTACGTAACTAACTGCATCCACAGTCACCCCAGGGATACCGGATGAAGTCATCTGCGAAGTCGTATACTCATTCATTCTCGCCTTGTTTAAATGATCTTTTATTTCGATATCGTGCAGCTTTCGCGCTATGATACTTTGTTTGTGTAGATCACTGAGAAAATTCTTTCGCGATATTAAATTATCCATTGTGATTTATTCGTTAAATATTAGAAAATAACCAATAAATTTATTTTTTTGTTGTGATCTTTGTGTAAATGCTCTCTATCGGATTGTACAACAATTCCTGAACTTTTTTATTCACTTCTAACACTTTACTCTTAACATGATTGACTCAGACTGCTGCAGCATACGATATTATGAGCGCGGGCGATAAATACTAATTAACTACATCGCATATAGTTTAGTGAGATAACGGTTCGCTTTCTGATAAAACACACGGATATGTTCTTCCGTTGTGGTTTTATTGTTTTCATAGCGGTGTGGTTGACCACATAACATAAAATTCTTTATTTCAAATATATTCGGTCTAATTGTTTGCATAATTAATATGAAATGCGTTTGTATTTATTACAATGATTAATTCAAAACATATCAACTCATCACATTGAAAACATCTTTCCAAAATGATTCATTCAATGATTTACTTAAATTTGAACTATTTTTTTTAAATTCATCTACCTTAACTATAAAATTTGAAAATATTAATATATATATATAAAATTTAAGATTTTTATATATATAGCAACAAACAAATTTATTGGAAACTAAAAGAAATTAACACACGATTGTAATAATTTATTACCATATTTTGCATGAAAACTATAGAAAGATGTAACTTTTATTCATAAAAATATATGTGAGATATGTGAATGTACGTACTTTTATATATCATATATCTTATTGGAAATTATTAAAATCATTAAGTGTTATCACATAATTACATACTAATTTTTCTCTAAGTATAAAAATAAGTAAAACATTTTAAAACATACCAATCCAAAAAGATGAAGAATAAGATTTCCATGTTTTCGCACTATATTAAAAGCTTGACAGCACAAATCGACGAAATGATGAAATTTCGCTGAAGGTTTATCACCACCATTTATAACATATGCCATATCAGACGTCAGTACAAATGGCGTCCTATCTCTGATTAAAAATATAATAACAAGAATATATTGTATCAAGATTACATTCTTTCTCTTTTATTTTTTTAAAATATAGTACATAGTGTAAGTGCAAAAATAAATAAAACGTAATATTACAATACATACGTACCTCTTAAAGTTTCCAAACATTTGCGCGTCACCAAGAAATTTTCCAAAATCAATATGAAATAAATGACCAGATGTCTTTAGCATAATATTGTCATTATGCCTATCACAAATTCCTAAAATATAAGTGGCAACGCTGTAGCCAGCGCAAGAAGCAGTAAAATTGTCCACCGCTCTTTCATATTCCAGTTCCGAAGGATTATGCTTCGCTAGCCACTCCGCGATCGGTCGATCCTTAAATGATCCTGTTAGTCCAAACTCGACTTGGATCTTCCGTAACGTTTCTGCATTCGTTACCATTTCTATCATTCCTCGTTTGTGGCCGGTGGGCACACAAGCAAAAGTAACCATTTTTAAATCAAGGCCTTCCTTCAACCACAATTTATCCATTATGCGCACCATCTGGAGGGTCAACATATCCTGCTGCAAATCATCGCCAACCTAGAAAAAAAAATACAATGTGTGTATTAATATCAAAGTTTTGGAAGAAGATAATGTTTTGCAGGATATTTTTACAGATTACTCATCGAAAACGTACCTTGAATATCGCCGGGCTTATAACATTGTCACAACTGATAAAGTTAATTTTTAATGGAAGAGTGAACGATGGAAAATAGGCACATGTCTGTACATTGATACCGAATACTAGTTTACTAGGAGATAGTGGTAAACATGTTCCATCGTCTTCCTTTAAGTGGCAGTGTATTTCTTGTAAACCAGTTTTAAGCGTATCCATTCGTAAAGATTCCTTTGTAACTTTAATATTTTCAGCCACTTGGTGCAGGTTCTGTACAAATTACAACTTAAAGTATATTTGAAATAAGTAAAGCTATTTGAAGTAAACAGGATATAAAAGTTAAAACCTACTTTAACTAACAATTGTTGAGTGAGAAAACTGTTTCTCAGCGCATCTCCGATAACTGCTAATAGCGCTCTCAACATTAATTGCAATCTTCGTTGATAACGAGCACAACTAATTGCTTTGTCATCTTCCGTTGAGATTTCAGCAGAATTCTACAAAATAAATGCGCTTTATAATTTAATATAGAAAAGTTTAAATAACATATTAGCGACATATTAATATTACTAATACATATCGCATGAAGCAGTTTTCTATGCTTTAATTCAGGCCTGCAGCCGAATTGCACATTTCGACCGATTTTGCCTATCGTCATCTCCACTCCTTTTGTTTCATAGCATTTAGACCGTGCATGAAGACATAAAACGCTCGAACTCAGGGATGATATTAGCCGTAACTCATACAGGGTACTATAGGGCTGTAGAACTTTGAAACATATTCAATGTTTACAAATTTTTATTATTATTATAATTATAATTATTATTATGTTAGAAACTCAATTTATTTATTAAAAAT